GTGACAACAAATTTGCTCCAGAGTAAAGGGGCAAATCCCACGGAGTGAATAGTTCTTAGGAACTTATTCTGTGCTACGCAACTCTAATCCTCTTAAGTGTTTTTTTTTTTTAGTTTTACTGAAAAGTGCACAACTTTAAACATTTAAAATTGTCCATGCTTTTCCAGACAACTGAGGGGGCTGTTGCCTTGATGTCCTTTTCTTGAGACTGAGGGCCAGGGGGCACCTCTGACCTCTGTAAATAACGTAATGCTGTTCCTGAGAAATAAAGTACAAACTTGTACAATTTGAAGAAAATACTATTTTTCTTGCAGCTTTACATTAGGTACTTACACCAATGTCTGAAAAGTGCTGAAGTCACTGCATGCTGAACTGCGAACATTCTAAAAATCCAACATTAGGGCTTATGCTAAACCACATTCCTATCAAACTAACATAGCTCTACATGGTCATACCAGCCATACCAGCCATACCCTAGCTTAACCCTATACAATTTTACATCAACAGACGTAACTTATACAAAGATGATTCACATGTGTTTATTTATAAATCCGATCTTGGTCTTGCTCTTGGTCTTGGTCTTGCTCTTGCTCTTGGTCTTGCTCTTGCTCTTGGTCTCGGACTGTCGGTCTTGGTCTTGGTCGTCGTCTCGAACTGCTTTTTTCAGCCTGGCTTTGGTCTTGGTCTCGGACTGTCGGTCTCGGTCTTGGTCTTGGTCTCGGACTGCTTTTTTTGGCCTGGTCTTGGTCTTGGTCTCGGACTGTCGGTCTCGGTCTTGGTCTTGGTCTCGGACTGCTTTTGTCGGCCTGGTCTTGGTCTTGCTCTTGGTCTCGGACTGTCGGTCTCGGTCTTGGTCTTGGTCTCGAACTAGTTTTGTCGGCCTGGTCTTGGTCTTGGTCTTGCTCTCGGACTGTCGGTCTCATCTTGGACTTGGTCTCGGACTGCCTGGTCTTGACTACAACACTGGTGCAAGTTTTGAAGTTGATTGGATATGAATAAATCCCAAAGTCTTGTGTAGAAAGAAAACATGTGTTATCCTAGGGGGAAAAAGTGCAAGAACAAAAAACAAGAAAAAAAATAGAGGTCTATGTCTGTTAACAACAAAACATACGGCTTTTCTGCATTTTGATTTTTTTTAATTTATTTTATTTTATTTATTTATTTATCTGATAACCAACTGTGGAGACCCGCCATTTACAGGTATCATAAAAATGTAAAAATATTAATATATATATGAATTTAAAATTACAGTTAGAATTAAACAAATACACGTGTCTCATTCTTAATCAACAGGAAAATTAACCATTACTGATTCAAAACAAACGAGCAATAAGATGACCCAACAAACAAATATATAAAAAACAAAAAATTAAATTAAAAATAAACAAATATACATAAAAATAACTTAAAAACTTAAATACTGAACAATAACGAACAAGCAAACATCTTAACAGCTATACAACCGACAACAGACAAATGGACATAAACAGACAGCCAAACAGACAGACAGACCGACAACAGACAGACCGAGAAACAAACACACAGTACCCAGACAAATAAACAAGCAACCCAACAACCCAACAAACAAAACATTAAATTAAATTTAAAAAAAGATAATAAATAAATTAAAACTTATTTATTTAATTAAAGAAAGACGAACAAACAAGCAAACAAACAAACACCCAACAAACCAGCAACAAACAGACAGAGACACCCAGACAAATGCACAGACAGACCGACAACGGGCAGACTGGCAAACAAACACACACCCTGACAAACAAATTATAGTTACATGTATAATTAAAATGAAAGTTCATTAAAATTATCAATTAGCATAAAATTAAAAACATTAAAATCTACATTAATGTTTTTAATGACATTATGTTTTAAATTTTATAAATTTACGTGTAAATTATGTCAATGTAATGTTAACTTATCAAATTTGCTTCGTTGATAATCCAGCTTGAGAACAATACAAAATGTTTAGCCTTGAAATGAGACTAATCATCCGGGAACCTATTTGAATAAATATGATTGTGTGACTGAGTATCAATAACATTTGCAGTTATAATATTAATACTAGAGATTCACGTTTGTTGAGTTACAAATGCAGAGTGGTCGGGCGGACAGCCTTTTCATTATACACTGCCCAGATAAGTTGGGAATATATTGTGGCGGTCGTGCTGACAGCAACCGCGAGTCGTCCTCGGCCGACGACAGCGAGTGGTCAATTCTGAGAAGGCCAAGGGACTGGGCCCGTTTTAGGGCAGTTTACCGCCAGGAGCAGCAGGGGAACAACTTTATTCGCGGGCGGGTCTTACGCCAGCAGCACTCGCACCAGCACACACAGGAACAGGGCAGGGGAAGGAAAACAGGGCACCTCTAAACAAGCACAGGACTCTTCTCTTTAGGTGAACATTCCTTTATTATAATCTACTCAGGCAGACTGCAAATCATCTCTAGGCCTTGACAGGTGTTGGTCACCTTCCCAGGTGCCTCCCCTAAGGTTTCCTAAACAGGTGCGAGTTCCGTGTACAGGTTATAAATCTTCCACACTAAGTTAACATCCACACACCACTACGGCCTCGCTACTTATTCCCGTGGACAGAGTTCCTCCCCTCTTTAACTGACTTGACTAGCCCCGCTAAACTTATCCCAGTAAGAGCTTCACTTATGGACACTGCTGCCTACTACCACTAATCTGCACTGGCCTAATAAGGTGCATAATATTTGTCAGCAACACTTTTAAACTTGAAAAGATATAAAACTTGAACACTTTAGAAATAGAAAACCTTATAAACTTTACAAAACTTTGTAAACTTTGCAAAACTTTAAACCTTACAACAATTTTAGAAACTTTACAAAACTTAAGAAACGTTATAAAACTTTAACTGAAACCTCTCAGGCACAAACACTTCAATAACTTACATTTACAGTTAAACCAGTAAGGGTTTCTTAATGGTTCCTTAGAAGGTGTTATAAGCTCATGGCCACTTCGGCAATGAAGACGAGGTCATACATGCGTGTGGTCTTGTCCTTCATGATTTTCTGGTCATCCTGGTACACTCCTCTCGATGAGGTCTCAGTGACTCTTGTGACCTTCCCTGCCATGGCTTGTTCCAGGCCTTCTTCACTGTCTGAAGGTCGTAGTTGCTCCTCCCCCGTATCAGTGGATTGGACGATCCTGCAGATCCTGAACTCAGGCGCTGGCAGAGCAGGCTTGGTTGGCACTTTTGTCTTCTTGCACTTGCTTTCAGGTGCTCTCTCGCCCGCTCATGGGCCAACCGCATTGCTCCCCTCAGGCGAAGAGCGTAGTCTTCAGTTTTATTCACTTCGCTGTCCTCAGTACCCACTCGAATTGTGAGGTCTAGTGGCAGGAACACTTCTCTGCCCAACATAAGCATATTAAGCAACTCTCCGGTCGATTCTTGTGGTGTTGCTCTACAGGCGAACGTTGGTGTCTCACCACCGTCCTAAGAAACAAATTAGACCGCCTACTCGGGTTAAAGATTACCACATGTAAATTGTGAAGTTCTGTTCATTCCATGTGCCAGTTAAAGGGAATATACAACATTTGCAAACATCAACAAATAAAACTACCACGTTTTTACGAAAAACATTACTAGGATGTTGGTTAACGACAGTCTAAAGCATCCAGTAAAATTATGGCACCTGGTGTGAAGTCATTTTCAAGAAAATGGTATTTCTGTATAAATTTCCAACGATCGATGGTCGGCCGACCACCGTTGGAAAAACCCAACTATTTTTCAACTATTGCTCCAAATTTACCTTTTTTTTTTTCAGTCAAAATTTTGTTTGCTATTGGTTACATGTTCATGAACGGGTGCAGACCAGCTAGACTGGTTCCCTTACCTTACAATTTTCCGGCATCTAAAAATTGATCCATTTCATCTTTAGTGGAGTCAGGGAACCAGACTACTTGAACATTTTTGTTTTTCTTGGCTTTTCCAGCATTTCCGAACACAAAACTTCAAACATGTCAGTGTAACAATATTTGATCTATTATACTAACCCCTGAAATAGTTCATTTCTGAAAATTACAGCGAAAGCCAATGATGTACATTCCCTTTAAAACACACAAGTGTATGTGTTTTAATTGAACTGTGATTTTCCTAATTTGAATTGTTGAACATTCCAAATATTCCAATGTCTCTGATTCCTCATTTTTATATTTTGATTCTTTGCAAACTGATCCAAGTATTCTTTCGAGATGTAAGCTACGTGCTCCTGTAATTATTCACACAGTTTCCTCATTTTTTGAGAGGGAAAATGTTGTGTTCACAGTCTATTTGCACAGCACTCTGGGCAGTCGAAAAGTGTGGACTTCGCCATGTTGGAATTGTAGGAATAAAGTGTTATCTCAAATCTGAATTGCTCTCTCTCTCTCAGTACTGGATCTATAACCCATTTTATACATCTTGGACATAACAGTATCCTACCCCATTTGCACAGCGTACTGATTTTACGCATGCTTATAGTCTATACTACACTAGTCTCCGTGCAAACACACTACACTAGTGCTCCAATGGATGTATACATAGTACATGCATAATGTACCTGTACAGTATGGTACGGGCAAAAAAGAATGAATCAGAACGCAGAGAGTTGAATTTGCAAGTCATAAGAGCTTTTATTTCCAATTTTCTATCTTTTCAATTGAAAAAAGGGAGTTTTGATTATCAATAATTAAAAAAAATATATAATTTGACCCACCCAAATGTAAAAACATCTAAATTTTGTAAATTTTGTAATGACCCCTTACATGTATGCAACTCATCTTTCATTTTATATTTTGTATTACATAGAAATGTGTACAATTTTGTGAAATGTACTGTATTAAAGTCCTGCAGCCCATTTTTACAATCCTGGCCTGATATGTATGACTGGCCCTTGCGCAGGATGCATGCATCAGTACAGCACTAAATAATGATGCATGGCAAAAAATTTTAACCTTGTCAATTGTGTTCATTTGATTGCAGGTGCCCTGTACAGGTTGATATTCAACACTGCATAGCTGCTATTCTCAATTGTTTTCAAGATCATACATGGAATACCCAGGTCTGTTTCCTACATACATTTTTGTATTTTTAATATTATCACTGGTACACTTCAAAGTGGCATTGCTATGCTTCAAAGTCAAAAACTACAATCCCGAACAAGTCAAAAACTAAAATCCTGGCCAAAATGGTTGGGACACTTGGAAATAACCTTTTCCTTCCACGGTCACCCACTCCCCTGCTCCCCCGGTCAATGTTGTTCTCTCTAGAAGATGGAGCACACACCGCGCAATGAGAGACAACATTGACAGGGGGCTGGGGGGGGGGGTGTCAGGGTCCCAGCGAGATTTGGCCAGGATTGTAGACATGGCTAACCTTTTTGCTCAATGCTTTTACTTCATGTTGTATCAAACACCCCTTTGACTATAATGTGGAATGTACCTCTACAATTCCTTACCTTGTAAGGAGATTGGCACGCGGGTCGCGCGTACTGCATGATGTCGCGCAGAATGCACCTGGGGAGTTGCGTTGTGAATTTACGACTATAAAATACTGACTTACTGGTCATTACGTCCACATCCCACTAGAAGCTTTCCAAGTTAGAAGGGTCCCACTCGGAAAAAGCACTCCCTTTTGGGGGATTAGTTTTGTTTGCTTTCTTTATCTTGTGTCAATAAACTTTAGATAAGAGCAGTTTAATCCTTTGTTGATATATATTCTTATCTAAGTGAGTTAGTTTTAACTCTCAAACATCTGCAAGAATTCTTCGTTTTTACTAAAGAAAAATACCTGTGTTTGGGTTTTATATCCTGTGTAATTACTTCGCAAACTTTTAATCATGAAAAAATTCCACTGGACAGCTGAGAACGTATACAGGTGTACAAATCTGATGCGGTGTTCGTGCTATACCAGCACGTGTGTGTGATATCAGCATATATGTACATGTACACTGTACTATGTACTAGCTTGTGAATACGCGGATGGATATTAATTCAGCTGATGTTTTCCTTGCTCCAGAGCCCCAAATCTTTTTTTAAGTCGTCTTTCTGCTAATGGAAGTGTTGCTACCATGGCTCTGGTATCATGAAAAACGTTACTATATATGCATTAGCAGCAGAGTGGGATTACTTGCCCTATTTTCCGCGAACGTATACATTCCAATTCATGCGTGCAGCTTGTGTACGTGTACGTACGTGTAGGCATCACTTTCCGCACGGAGCTTTCAAGCTCCGACACATGTTGCATGGGGTACCGCCGAACAATAGTCGGTTCGAAAACGGGGTATAACTGTTATGTTTACAAAGCAGACTAGTTGCAAATTCTGAAATATGGTGTGGAGATGCTTGACGCAACGGGCCATCGATCATTATGTGAATAATTCTTATGTTCCAGCAAGCGCCTCGATCGACATTATAATGTCGATTGAGGCGCTTGCTGGAACATACCGTGGCCATTGGCCACATGCCCTGTCGAGGTGGCCGCAATATGCTCCTTCAAAACAATTCTGGGTTCTCAGCCAACTTGGCCACCTTGTCCTTTTTATTCACGTCACATGTACATTGTACGTACCAATAATTATTCAACATTTAACAGAACCCCAAAATCACGGTGAAGATATTTGCAATCGCTAAATTCGGAAGGCAGTCGACAGGTTTTCCCGGATCGCACTTGGCGGCTTCAGCCAGTGGACGTCGGGGAACATGGTGCATGCGATCAGTATAGACTGGTTCCTGTCGCGTGCTATAACGAAATGCTAGTGATGATTGGTGTACCGGGAACAGTCTATGGCCGACATAATACAGTAAATCACGGTGGATGAATTTGACAATGTAAAAATCGTAAGCAAACATGTATACCAAAGAAAAGATTTCTGCGAGTTTCTTCTTGGAACTTGATCTCTCTTTTCTGTAAATGTAGTTTCCGTTTTTATGTTTATATTTTTGAGACTGTACTGCTCTTACTTGAATCGCTACAACGTAGTGTGTTTCCTCAATATGTTCCACCGTAGCACGTGGTCTGTCGTCTGCCGCGCACAGTTCAGTTGCGCACTGATCCTGTGCGGTGTATGGACGGTGTTGGCAAATTTGCGCAGCGTGCGCCCCTTGACTGCATTTTCACTGTGCTGTGTTTTTAAGAATCATCCATGCGCCTTGAACATTTTCTGCATTAGTTAAGGCAATTAAGTTTTCATCACTTTTGGGGGTAGAATTTGTTAGCTTTCATCATGATGTAAATATTAACGAATCAGGCCGAAAATGCGCATATGATCGGGATACTCAGACCCATGCTCAGATCTTCAGACAAACAAAATTGGCAAAAGAACTCTCTGGCCTACCGACCCTATTCTTGGTCTAATGCCGTGCATACACATGGTGTGAACAACTTCATCATGTTCATACTCCGTATCTGTTAGAAACAGAAACATCAACGACCTTCAAAATTTATTCTTTAATTATGGCAAGACTTAAGGGCCTATTTTGATAGCTGTCATTGCATAAATGAAAATAATTTGGGCCGGAAATGGTGTGCATACTCCACTAAATCAGCGAACCAAAATTACAAAATAAAAAAAGGGAAGGAATGAAGTATCCAGGCGCCATTCAGCGAAGGTGTACAAAGTCTATGAAGAGTTACGAACATTTTCTAAGCATTTTTCTAACAACATCGAAAATGTTTCTCACGCAGTCCCATATTCATGTCTTTTCAACATTTTGGAATGACTGACCTTTATTGAGATGACATAAGAAGAAAAACATGGCGTCAGGTTGTAACATAAAAAATCCAGACATATCAACGTTATTTTTGTAAATCATATTGTGCGTTTTGGCTTTTCATTTATATCAACACAGTGATTCTGCATGAACAGTGCTGCTCGTTCCGGAAGTTTGTCAACCAAAACAGTCGTTTTTTTCGGTTTTGTTGTTGCAATGTTCATCTTCCATCTCATAATGTTCATCTTCTATATTTTAAGTTCATAGATAATCTGTAGATATCCTGTCTGGAAATATTAACTCAAATTCCGCCCCACTGCACATGGGGCTTACTACAGTAATATATATGTCCCATTACCTTGCAGGTATAAATTGCACTATGCAAAAAACTTTGGATTAAATTCTCGAAAGTTAGCCTCAGTGCCCTTTGAAATTTCCAATTCAAAGTGACCTGCCCTTTTTCTTAATATAAAAATAATATAGTAGCACAAGTAAAACAAATGAAGTCCTGCAGAAAATTCATTGTTTTTTCCTAGAGTAGAACTGACAAAATCTTTCTCCCAAAGTATTGCATTTAACAAACTCCAAAAACGTTGATATAATGAATCAAAAAAAACTTTAATTGAGCGTATGTGATCCCCGAGCACGTTAGAATGTACACTCTTTGCATTCCTAGTACTTTTAAAAACACCCCTGTTATTTTTTGAGAACAGCTCATGTGATTGTTAACAATCTGCTTTGCTGTCTAAAAATAATTCTAAAATAATTGAAGCCTCAAAGAATCCAGACTCAGTTATACAAGAAGTTATGTCTGAATCTTATTATGAAAACTTAACTTTACTGCACAGGCATGCACATGTACACAGTACATACATGTACATAAATATGGGTGCAGTACATGTACAGGCTTCCAATGTATGCAACAGCATATGACATTTCATGCTTGAGTGAATCGAAAGTAGTGCCGGCAACTTCCAGTTTATTGGAAGGGATTGCAAAGAAAAAAGCTGGGTAAAGGTCAACAGCGAAAAGTCAACAGCGAAAAGGGAGTGGGATTACAGGGAATCTGTCTAGTGGGCCGTTTCCGTAATGTAGTATTACGCATGCCTACGTGAGTGTTATGAACGTTCAACCAATAAAACGGTAAAGAGGCACTCAGGTTTTAGAAGTCCAAATTTCATGCGACACTGGCTAGCCATGTCTTTATCATCTGTTTACGACCGGCCACGTGATGGGCTCTCTACCTGTAGGAATGGGTGAACTGTCTTAGGTATTTATTAATCATGGTTTAACACACAAAAATTACAAAGTTTTAGAATATCTGGTCTGGCTGCCACGGTAGTAATGGGCATCCAACAAAATCATTAAGAAAGACAGCCGAAGCTCTTACCGATCAGCCGAAGCGTTCAGGAGTAATGATAGTAAGTTTATTTTTTGTTTGGCGTAGGGGGGACGTGGCCTCACACCCTGCTACCCATAGGGTTAACGTTAAAAGGGGTTTGGCCATTCAAGGGGTGATAACCAATAATATTAGGCTAGTGAATGGAAAAGTCCAGATTTTACCTTGCAATAATATTCCTCCCATTTCACTTCTGAGCCACTCAATATTTGTATAATATTCAGCTACCAGGAAAACTATGCCGTCGATTGGTCAATCTAGCAATATTAATATCACGTGGTCTACTAAACTCAACTTACCTGTAGAGCAATCTACTTATGTATATTCCCTCGACCGGCAGGTATTTCTGCTAAGACTTTTATACAATAGCACCCTCTGGTGTCCTACCCATAATGCCCCTTGGCATGTGTGCCTCACGAGCGTCCTGTTTTCTCTGAGCAACAGGTCTGGTAGGACATGTTTAAAACACAGTGTATTTCCCGTCTTTTTTTTTTTTGCTAACTTGTTTCGCTTAAGAGTAGTTTATTGAAAATAAAGAGTAAAACAACAACTTGTAGAGTTTTCCATCTTCTTGTTTGTTTATTGAACGAGTCCATTTGATAAGAAATGGATTGTTTTTGGGGAGAACCGGCGTGTCACTTACCGGGGGAATTCCTCTCCCACGAGACTGACCGGGTTCCTAGTTCTGTAGTCCCTCGTCCAGCACCCCCAGCTACTGCTGGCTGTGGGCATTGCTGATTTTTCTGGCCAGTAAAGGGGACCTTGCTCGCCTTCTCTGGTCAACTCAAGCTAGGCAGCCCGAGGAGACTGTGACTTCCCGGCACAGTGCCAAGCACTTTTGGGTGCCAGAACAGGCTATTGTACGGGCTGCTTGACAGACCAGGGTTTGCTCAGCCCATGGGGCTTGAGAAGCTGGTGGTCGGGTATACTATGAGCGACGCGGAGCCGGGTGCCCGGGGGACCTATTGTTTTTCTTAAAAACACTTTCATTCCACAATTCTCGTACTACTTTAAAATGTGTAATAAGATTTATCAAAAAGTACAAATAGCAATAAGTGTGAATATCAAAAAAATGACCACAATTTTGTTTGTTTGTTTGTTTGTTTTTTTTTTTCATTTTCTTCACTATTGCCTGTGCCCCGATCCATTTGATTTTGCCAAAGCACCTTACATTAAATAAAAACATGAAAAAAAAAATAATAAAGCAACAACAGAAAAAAAGATACATTGCTGTGTAAGTACGCAGAATGATTGGAAATGGGTCTACAAGTACAACAGAATTTTTCTGTTGCTTGGGGGTCCCGGTGCCTTGCGTGTCATCTGACATTTCCTCGAACCCACGCTGGGGCCGTTCTTCATAGATGAAGAACAAGGAGAAGACGATTGGTCACCAATTAGGCCATTTTTCTTCAGACTCTGACAGCTCCTCTGACCGATCCAACTTGGACAAATTCTCCCGAAGTTAGATCTAGAACTCGACCTATGGGGCTTGAGATGCTGTTGGCCGGGCATGATGGAAGGTTTGACAGGGTAAACATGGCTCTGAAATGAGCTTCACTGCACACTTGAATACACGTTGCAGTAGAGTAAAAGTGGACTCGGCAATAGGCATTCAGCCTCCCTCTTTATCCTCTTGAAGTACATTATGTGTAATCTTATAAGGGTAACTCTTATAAGTTGACTGCTATTTTCACAATCAATTGCACGGTCTGCACTTGGTACTCTATTGGTTTACACGAGTGCAGACCCTAATGGCCTTGGCCCGCAGGGGTAACGTGCTTGATGCTTTGTTTCTCCTGGTTGAAGAGTGCCCGCCATAGATTCAAGTCCCACCATGTCTCAAGATATATTCAGACCGGAGACCTCGCCAGAATTGGTTTCTCCTAAATCTAATTCTTTATTGAACCTCTGTACATATAATAGTGTCTATATGTACTGTGTCAAAATGCTTTGCCTTTCATGATTAGTTTTTGTGCCCCACCAAACTCTTATGTCTATGTCCTGGTGGGTTGTTATTCAATATGGGCGATTCCCCATATTGGAGACTGCATCTCTGTCAGCATGTTAAGGCTGCCATATAGATAATGTCCTTAAAATGCAGACTTTCTGGGCTGCTTTGTCCACCGACATGTGGAGCAATGGGGCCAATCTGGGGGTTTACATGTCATGTTATGTGCCCCTTTGAGAAAACCATAGCACATCGCATGACCCACCACCTGGATGGTGCTAGTCTATGTATAAGTAGAATGCTCTGCAGGTAAGTTGAGTGAAGAGACTCCCCCCTCCCCACAGAAGTCTGGTTAGGTTCTACAAACGAATTCTCACCTGTAGAGCATCCCCCTCCTAGCCCACTCTTCTTAATGCCATGAGTATTCCAACTTGGCCCTCAAGAACATAGGATGTTCACGAGGCATGCATGCCAAGGGGCATTAAAGGTAGGACACAGAGGTCGCTATTGTATAAAACTCTTGGCAGAACACCTGCAGCTCTAAGGAATATGCAAAAGTAGATTGCTCTACAGGTAAATATTCATTTGTAGACTCCCAACACACTTCTGGGGGGATTTTCCCCATGTGACTGGCACAATGTGCGGGCATGCAAAAGTTTCAGACTACGTGTAGCGAACTGGTCAAACTATGAATGAAGTGAAGGCTCTTATAGCACATGGTTTGGGCTGGGATGGAAAGTTCTACGTGACCTCAGAAACCGAGATAAACTTTTCCAAGTTAAACATGCTGGACTTAAAACAGTGTATGAATGCTTGGGTGTTTTAATTTTATGACCGGCCAGTTAGTAACCCTTTTAACTTTAACTGTTTCAGCAAAAGTTGTCTGCACATAGCCATAAATGTGATGTTTAAAATTGGTAAGGGACCTCATTCCTGATTCATTATTGGAATCAGGCCCCTATAACCTGTTTTATAAACCTGTTCCATCACACAATTATCCTCTTTCAGTAAAAAACAAAGAAGAAGTGAGGTGTGCTTAATTTGCAGTTTAAAACAACCCAGCTGACAGGCTTTTGACTAATAGAAGTAGGTTAATTGTTCTGGGTATTTATGAATATTACATCACTTTTTATTGAAATCTCTGACAGGCAAGGACATTGTGCAGGAAGCTTGCTCTCTGTAGTGATCATCACCACAACCTAGTCCATTTGGTAAGACTAATGCGGACCGGCACCCAGAGAGGAAAAACTCTGTGCCCTATGCTCAGGTAATACTGCTAAAGGATTTAAGGATGATTTTACAAAATCGTCCTATTACTTAAATGTTTAGTACTTGAACAGTTATAGCTAAAGAAACAATATAAAATCTAGAAATGATTCTGAAACAACTATGAATGCATAGAAATAGAGAATTAGCAGGTTTCTATTTCAGAAGTATTATGAGACATGGAACAAACAAAGTCTCTCCAACCCCAAAACACCCTTTTTTGAATGTGATGTTGTTTTAGCAAAATAGCACATTGCTTTAATACTCATCTGTTATCTGTTTACAAGGCATTGTTTTTGTGTCTGCCTAGGCATGTAAACTGTAAGTTTGCTGTTGACACCGCATTCATTAAGAGGGCACATTTGTTTTGTTATATCTAAGTCTGAAATGATTATGACTTGAGGGTTTGCATGGCAGATGAGATACATTATCAAGTTTGCGGGTAACACCATGTGGAAAGAAATCTCTTCTTGGAAGAAGTGTGGTTCTGAAAAGAACCGGTTGGTTGAGTGTACTCAACTACACTCAATCACCGGTTCTTTTCAGAACCACACTTCTGCCAAAAAGAGATTCCTTTCCACATGGTGTTACCCACAAACTTGATCATTTATCTGAAATAATTACGGAAACACACAAACCCTCTAAAATATTTAAGTGCATCTATGTTTAGATATGAAACTGAACAATCTACACTGCAGTTATACGTGTATGCTATGTACAATAAACTTTGTGCCCAATGCAATGTAATTTAAGATCCAAACAAATTTTATAGTGTGAAAAATATTAAGTGTTTCCATAATAGTCCAGCGGATATGTGACAAAATGTCGATGCGTGAAACTTGGCACAGATGTTCATATTCATTCGAGAAAATGTTTTAGATGTGAAGCCATTGCAAATTCACCCTTTTAGGGGCGTGGCAATATTCATAAAAGGGGGGCGGGACTCATGCCTGCAGTGGAAACGGTTGTTCCCACTTGTCACAAAAGCAGGAAACTTCACAAAGACAAAATTATATAGACTATAAGTGTTTTCCAGATTCGGAACCACCACAAAAGTACCTTTTAGGGGGCGTGGCAGCCATTTAAAAAAGGGGGGTAAATATTATGCCTATCTTGGGAAAAAATTGTGCTCATCAGGCGCGGTTCTAGAACCAATATTTTGGGGGGGCTAGCACGGTGGATCCAGAATTTTTTTCAGGGAGGCGTGCTGAAATGTAGACCGGTTATTTTTTCCAGACACTTTGGCCTCCGAAAATCAATGGGGGGGGGGGGGGGGGGGGGCTCATGCCATATTTTCAATGGGGAGCGCCAATAAAATCCTAAAATCATTCACACTATATTAACTAATGCACCCTTGTCACGGCTATTTCTTCTTTAGGGGAGACCGTTCGCATGTACATCACAATCATTCTTTTTGCTAATGCAATTTTTTTTTTTACGGAATTTATTTTGGGGGGGGGGAGTCATGATGCCCTTATAAAAAAAGGTGTGCCTCCCTTTTATAAACGGATTAAACTGCACACAGACAATATATTCATGAAAATCTTTCTTTTTTTGAATGTGAAGCCATCACAAACTTACCCTTTTAGAGGCGTGGCATCCATTTAAAAAAAATTGGGGGTGGGTGCTACTAATCATTTTCCCACCATCGAAACTTGTTCCTACTTTTCATAAATGAGTAAACTTCACACAAACTTGGTGAAAGAAAATAAATTCAGATGTGGAGCCACCGCAAACTCATCTTTTTAGAGGCGTGAGGGGCCTACTCACTGTGCCCACAATTTGTATATTTTGTGGTTGATTTGGTTTCGGTTTGCGGTAACACCATGTGGTAATAACTACTGCTTAGAAGATATTAGTTCTGAGAAGAACTTGTCCTGCTTATTATCAACTTGCTAAGTAGTTTTTGTTCTGTTTAGAACAGTACTGCTGTAAGTTCTGAAAGAACTTGTCTTAGGTCTCAACGTTTCGACTAGCCTGCTCTAGTCATCGTCAGGAGACTGAAGATAGTTGGAGATGCTACTCCTTAAGTAGGATTTGTTAGGATTAGGAGTGCTTGCTGGGCATGCCCTGCTCGCTCGGGTGTGTCAGTTGGTTGTGAGCCATGGGCATTGTGTTGAGGGATGCCCGCTGAGCGTCCTGCTCGCTCGACTGTGTCAGTTGGCTGTGAGCCTTGGGCATTGTGTTGAGGGATGCTCGCTGAGCGTCCTGCTCGCTCAGGTGTGTCAGTTGGCTGTGAGCCACGAGTGTTGCAACTTGGAATAACTGAATGCCATATGTGGCTTATGAAGTAGCCGATATCTTGTGGGACAGTGTCATGTTTGTGGATCTCAAACATGATCTTCTGTGGATCTCAGAACTAATATCTTCTAAGCAGTAGTTATTACCACATGGTGTTACCGCAAACCGAAATGATACCGATACCCCACCATGCAAAGCCTCAAATCTTATATTGTGGTTGATTTCTTAAAATATTGATTGGCCCATAACCTATATGACATTGTGACTTACACCAAGGAGCATGGGTAAGTACCGGTAGGCTAACCAGTTGAAGGGTTCAACGTGTGTACATGCACCAATATTATCATGCACATCTTAATTCTAGAGTGATTACATAATCACAATACACAGCACGCAATGGCAGCCCCAACCTCTATCATTGAACATTTAAGGGCTAAGGAAATCCTTTTTACAGGGGGGGGGGGGGGGTGGGGGGCACGCTTGGGGCGCTGCTTAAAACAATTTATTATCACAATTTAACATCAACTATCAACAATTAACATCAACAATCATGACAATCGACATCAATAACCAACATCAGAAATCAACATCAGAAATCTACATCAACAATCAACATCAACAATCAACATCAACAATCAACAACAAAAAGCAGCATCAACATCAACAATCAACATTTGCAATCATCAACAATCAACTCAATAATCCTTAATCAACAACAACAATCAACTATCAACAATCGACAATCGACATCAACATGAACAACCACCGTCAAATTCAATCAACAATCAACAATCACCAATCCACATAAACATTAACAACCAACAATCAACAATCAACAATGCAAAAAAGACAAACCTCTAGCCCAGCACCGTGTGTTTGCCCCCTCAAACTCTAGTTTACACTTGTTATTATTTGGATATCACTGTTTCTGTGACACAAATTAAACACAGACTTCACTCCATCTCAGACCAGGTGACGTTAAGCAATGAAAATTAAGAACAGTTATACACACAGTATTCAAGTTCACCCAATATTAAATAATGCATGGTTCTGGGTGATAAACTGAACCGTCAAGTGTCTACTCAGTCTTCGTCTGGATCGCGGGATAGGACCAGTGGCCAGGACTTGACACAAGCTAGTAGTAGCATGGTAGTATGTGACTGCCTAAGTGCAACTTAAGAATGTTATACTTCAGATGAAGAAGAACTTCCTCAGCTGGCTGAAATCTCCAGTTGTACTTTCTGAAAAATTAAAATTGAAAAAACCGATCCCCAATAAAAATGATCCCAACTCTCTACCATAAATAATGTACGCAGCTCATACATGTTTAAGCAATCACTATATTTTGTAGGCAAAATAATCCTTTGAACAAATAAATGTATTTCGAGAAATTAAATCACTTTAGAAAATAAATTAATCTAACTCACGGTTTTGCAGCGAAGTTCTCCCGTGTCTGGTTTCAAAGCCCACCAGTAGACAGTTGAACAAAAAGCCCCAGCTAAATACAGCTACAACGGCAATACTGCAGTACACAGCTAGGCTCTGCTATAATTATTTGCTCTGCATCAGAGTCTGAATACTCTGCTCGGCAAAAGATGTGGCAGCAGGCAGTATGCAGCAGGATATTTGTCTTGGCGTCTAGTGAGCTCTCTTATGAGATTGAGTGGTCTGCAGTCGCACTGACCAAACACTTATATTGTATATCTCCACACATAAACACAGCCAGCTAATCAAACACGTAAGAACTACAACAAACTGAAGAATGTTTAAGAATGCACATAATATTGAATATTCACACAGGAAAAGAAGAGACATTAGCATAGGAACTTTTTACTGTAAGGTGGTAAGGAAAGGACACATCAAATAAAAGACATGTTAATAAACTAGAGGGTCGCGTTTGTTGTTACAAACGCAGAGTGGTCGGGTAGACAACCATTTTATTAGAGATTGTCCAATTAAGTTATGAATATGTTTATGTCAGAAGGACCAAGAACTTCAACATTTCCAGTACCAATTATTTTGTACAAAAAGAATGCATCTTATAAGGTATGATAAATTTCAGTAAACAGTTAGGTACACGTACAAGTTATTTCCGGTTTGATGGCGTCATCAGTCAAAAAAGGGAAGGGAGGACACTTGTTTATTATTTAGTAAAAATAACGCATGGAAATATGGAAATTTAGTGTATGTAATAATAACAGATAACTTCAGTTTGATGACGTCACAGTATTTGGAAGCAAAAGGTCAATATTAAGTGTAACAGATGTCTTTTTTTTTCGGGGGGGGGGGGCAAAAAAACAAAGTCATGAGACAGGGATCAAATGATGGATTTAAATTCAAAATAAAATTATCTTTGTTGACTTATCCCTACAGTAACTTCCGGTCTGATGATGTCATGATTATGAAACCTTGCAAATTCATTTGTGGTTGCATAAGGGGATATATAGGGGCAATATATCATAAAAATTTTGATTTAGGGCTGTAACATTTTAAAAGATTAAACGGTTTTCGATGTGCCGTTAGAGGGCGCCTTTTAGTGGGATGACGTCAAAATTATGTTTTTGTGATTGGCATTCCTCACTTAACACTTCCATAATATATTTGTCTGTAGTAAAATGCTTCCGTTTTAGAGTAAGATTAAGTTTCTATTGCACTTCCGGTAACACCGGAAGTAAAGGTCAAGCAATTTTGTGCCCGGGAATAAGAAATGTTGCTCTAGGCACCGTCTACAACCTCACAAAAAAAACGAACACGATACTCTATTTAGTTCAAGAGATATAGGTCAAATTATTTTGTCAAATCGTGCAATCAAATCGCTTGTAATTTGATACCCGATGACGTCATGATGACGTAACAACATTTATAACAACTTCGTAACATGGTACAAGTTCACACTAGGTTTTATGATCATACCGTAAACCGTTCGGAAGAAATTGTGCTTTGTTTCAATTTCAGGCTAAAGTCTTCATTTTGAATTCACTTAACTTTGACCTTCCGGTAGACCCGGAAGTAAAGGTCAAGCGAGTTAACGTACACGACAAAAAAGTTTATCAATTTATGGTTTATCTGATTACAAGGTTGGAGCATAATTGATCATTTTGTTGAAGAGTTATATAACTGAAACGAACTGTTATATAGTCTACGCCAGTTTTCAAGACATTGCAGGTTTCATGGGAGGAAAGTATGAGAACATAAAAAGGTAATTGTTTTCATAACTTTTTTGCACACTCATTTTTTTGTATTTTTTTTTTTGTAGCTGCACTGTCCTGAAAAAGCTGACCAGGACAAGCTTAGTTTTGGAGCTCCAGTGCACCAGAAATATTCAAGCATTTAAGGTAACGTAACCATCCAGCATCGATTTCACGGAGCGCTGCGATGCGTTGCAACTCGAGTTACGACATGTAACACATCGCAATTCGCGACGCGTTGTATCATCCATTTCACGAAATTTGCGATGTGTTGAACGCGTCGTAAGTTCCTTGACAATGGCTTAAAACACGTCGCAAGTTACGACGTGTCTAATGGTCATCGCAAAATAAAAAGAGTCCCTTTCTAAGCCAGTTATAATACCGAGGCAATGTGTGTAAAGTTGTAAATAAAAAAATCATTGAATAATTACGAATTAGACTGGAATATTGCAGTTGAAATTTCAAAGTAGCTATACAGTCCACTGAGAGCTTGTTTTCCTTCAAAATTGCATCGCACAGCCACCATTTTGTTTTACGTTAACAAATTTCGAGTTGAGATCCGACGACTCTTTGTCGAATATCAGACGACTATTTACTGTATGCTGACTATATACATAAAACAGTCATCGAGTTGTGCTATCAATACGCCTATGACGCATCGCACTTACGACGTGTTTCGTGAAATGGATCGCAGGACGCTTCGCATCGTAGAGATATGACGCGTTGCATCACTGCGATGCATCTGAAGTTGAAATTTGATGAAATCGGGTGCAGTTCTAATAATTCTATGTAACATTTGTAGATTGTGTTGTGTGGCCTACACACATGAACAACGGAAGGGAAAATAAAGTGTGCATGCAGTGCTGGCATCATTGTGCATAATGCCTGCAGAAAATGTGCAATTGCAATTAAGCAAAATGTAATTTGTTTGTGTAATTTGAATTCCCTGAAGGCTTTGGCACATAGGAAAAATGACACTAAAAGTTGCATTTGATAAGGGAATAAATGTGTGCTTGGCCGGTTGTAAACGAGTATGTTTAAAACTCTATGAAAACTTACTTTTAATGTGGCGTCAAATGGCATGTGATGACGTCATCATGACATCACTTCAATTTTCCTCTTAAACACATCCCTGTCCAGTTACATACAATATTAATGCAACCAAATTGGACAGTCCACTTCAGGGACTCCCTTACCTGTTAAACCTACAATTTGCATATTTCTCTAAGCCTTAGGCTTCCACGCTAGATTTTAATACCACACAAGAGCGCCCTCCATCACCCGCCCCCGCTCCCGCCTACGGCCAACTCGTCCTCTTTTCTCTAGCGTTCATGGAAGACGGACATGTTTTCGAATCTCCTACGGACGTATCCTCTGCTAGAATGTTTTTTTTTTTACATTTTGAAAGAAATTTGTGAGTTATTTCTTTCGTGAGTTATACTACAAGATTCGGTGCTTCTGGTACAGTGCCAGGTTTTATTTTTGTTACGTTTACAGGTTAGTGTACGGAGTACATTTGCTGTTGATTTGTTAATAAAGAAGTCAAACACGAGGTGTGTCGTTTTCTTCTTGTTTTATATACTGCAAGGTGTGCTTGCGTTGTTTTGTATAATACGTTCAGAATAAAATAATACGTACAGAGTACGCTAGTTATCTGTTTATTAATAAAGAAATACACTGGTTGTGTCAGGTTTTCTTTGGGGTTGTTTTGTGAATCTACAGTTTATTTTCACATTAGTAATGGCGGACACACGTCAAAGTAAGCGTGGTGTGACGCCAAAGAATTTTGTTGCATGTTCTTCTTGTCGGCGTATTAAGCCCCGCCCCAAACAAGATTTGCATGATTTCTGCCCCCGTTGCAGACCGTGTAACCGGCGAGTGCCGTGCTCGGTTTGTAAGGAGTGGGGGTCAGCAGAGTGGGAGGCCGTAGCAGCATGGGTGCGTTCCCGGTCTCCCTCGGGTGATTCGGCAGCCAGTGTGTCTTCCGGGGCACCGAGCAAGGCGACATCGGCGGAACAATCGCCGCTTTCTGGGGTCATGTCTAAAGGGTCTTTGGCCACCAGTAAAGCATCGGGCCATACTACTAAATCCGTGCCGGTGAGGCCTCCGGAATTTAGTTTAGTCACTTGCACCGAGAGTCCGAGCCTTAGCACTTAATCGGGGGACATGCCCCAGGCAGGTTTGAGTGAGGGATCTGATACGGCGCCCCCAGCCGAGCAGCCTGTGCTCGCTTCCAAACGTAAGCCGGGGAAGAAAAAGGAGAATTCTCGGGCCAAAGCTATGCCGACGGGGCATATAGCGACCGGCCGCGTTATCCCCGGTGTGACCGGAACAGTCCCCGAAACCGGTGTGGTTCCCGGTGGGTCCGGGGCAGGGGTCGGTGCAACCGACACCGGAGCCCGCCCAAAGACATTGGGTGGCAGGAAACACGGGATGCAGGCTGCGGACACAGCCACTACGGAACTGGGCTCGATTGCCGATCCCTCGGCTGAGGTTTCGGTGGGCCCGGCTCTGGCTCCAAATCGCGGACGCAACCGGAGCCAGGACAGGTCCAATGGAGAGACACGTCACCGGCGTAAGAGATATACTAGTTCAAGCTCTTCATCGTCATCCGCTAGCAGATCGTCACGAGGCCGTCGACGGCATCACAGCAGGCGGGAAGATCCCACGTCGGCCCTGTTATTTCAGGGGTTCCATGAATTGACGGCCAGTATTACATCACTGATACCAAAACCGACAGCGCTGGCTCAACCGGTGACTCCACCGGAGCCCGGGCAGGTTTTGCCGGAACCGGGGGCCGAGGATGAGATGTCAATCCTCGTCTCGGATCATTTTTCCGACCCGGGGAATGTGTCAGATAGGGACCCTTGCCGGGTTTCGGCAGCGGTAGCGGTCCCCAGTACCGAACAACCCTCAGGGAATAAGGAAACTTTTCCCTCGAGACAAAAACGTGATCGCCGGGAACAGCCCCAAGGGGGGAGGGTGATTCCTCGGTAGATTCGGATGAATCATCCTACCAATCCACGACCGACCAGCGATTGCGCGTGGTCATGAAGGATATGGTACGGGTGCTACATATACCGTCGAAGGACGAAGAAGAACCGGTAGAGGGCGCTAGACAATCCTTTAAGCGACGGACGGCGCCGGTCGAACCGAAGGAATTTCCGGTTCTTCCGATTGATCGGCTGTGCGCTGATCGCATGAGCGCACTTTCGGAGGTTAAAAAAATAAGTCCGTTCGTGTGCCGTGAAACCCTTCCGTTCAGAGTACCTCAGGCGGACTTCGATAAATTTTTATCAGTGCCGCCCATGCCCGCTGTGGTAGGTGATAAAATCGCGGCGGATTCGGGTGGCCGAAGTTCGGTGAAATCACCTTTTCCATCAAAAGAAAAGAATGTTTTTGAAGAGTCATTACTGAAGATTGACACAGCTTCACGTGCAGGAGTTCGAGTGGCATGTTTTCTACAACTCCTGTCAGAATACTTGGTTTTTTCTTGTGAGGCAGACTCGCCGGTGTCACCAGAGGCAACTGAGACAGCGTTTCGTTGCCTTGACGACGGGCTACGGCTGTGTATGGACCAGTTTATGCGGGTGTCCTTGATGACAATCAACGCCCGCCGACCTAACGTGTTGGATACAATCTTTGTTCCCTCTGATGGTTTGAGGTCCAGCCTGGAATCCCTTCCCCGACTGAGTTCCGACTTGTTTGGAGGGAAATTCCAAGAGATCATGCAAGCTGAAGCGAAGCGGATAAAAGCTACGAACAAGATCAATCTCAATAGACAGCCTAGTCCGAAGGGCAGCTCTCGTCCGGCCAGAGGTGGCAGTGCAATGAGTAAGGGCAAGACATTCCCCCGTAAACCGTTGAAGCCGTTTGCCTTCAACCCATCGGGCTCGTCTTACAAGGCCACTACACAGTGAGACAGAGTCAGGGCCTTTGGGTCGCGTACCTGGGGTAGAGTTGGCTTCACCCCCCGCTCCAAAGCTTTGCGCGGAGGTTACCGGGGCGACGGTTGGCGCCGGTGATGGCACCCTTCCCACGGCCCCGTAGGGGGTCGACTCATACGTTTCGTAAGGACTTGGGCCCTTTTGTGCAATGACGGGTGGGTACTCAAAACAGTAACTTCCGTCTACGAAATAGAGTTCACGAGTACTCCCCCGTCTGCATACCTACCGAGAGTAACACCGATTCCATCCGACAAGACCAAGCGTCACGCTCTGGAGTCAGAGATATCCGCCCTCTTAAAGAAAGGGGCAATACGCAGAGTGCCAACAGAGGATGCGGCTCAAGGGTTTTTCTCGACATTCTTTCTAGCGCCAAAGAAAAAACGGGAGAATGGCGACCGATTTTGAACCTTCAGCCGTTAAACAAATATGTCCTACCCAAACGGTTCCGGATGGAGTCACTGAAGACAGTTTTGGATTCATTACCCATTCCAACTTGGGCGGTGTCGATCGATCTCAAAGACGCCTATCTACATGTACCACTGTGGAACGGACATTGGGCATTCCTTCGTTTTCGTTACAATCAGCGGACTTACGAGTTCCTCACGCTACCCATCGGCCTTTCCACTCCCCCTATTCACACGACTGGTGAAGGTCGTAGCTGGAATCCTCCGACAACGCCAGATGCAAATCTTTGTTTACCTGGACGATTGGCTCATTGTGGGGGAGACAAAGGAGGAAACGAGTTGGGCACTCGAACTCACTTGCAACATCATTTCATAGTTGGGGTTCCTGGTCTACGTCGAAAAATCCCAACCAACCCCACGATGCACCCAGTTTTCTAGTTGGACCTCCAGCGAGGGCTGGCTTTCCTGACCAAGGAGCGAGTCCAAAATCTTGTGGACCGCATCGCCCTGTTCCAGACTGCCAGCGTGGCCCCGGCAATAGCCTGGCTTCGGCTATTGGGCCTAATGGCAAGCATGGTGGATGTGCTTCCATGGTGCAGGATGCGGATGCGCCCACTACAATTACATCTAATTGCCCACTACCAACCGTGCATTCACCAAATCCAACGGCCAGTGCCAATCCCAAACATGATTTGCCCCCATCTGGATTGGTGGTCTCAGCGAACAAACGTTAAGGCGGGACTGATTTTTCCACAACCACAACCTTCTGTGACCCTGGTGACGGATGCCTCCAACA